AGATAGTTTACAAATATTTTCTCTCATTTTGTAGGTTGTCCCTTTACACTGTTGCTTGTTTCCATTTCTGTATAGAAACGTTTTATCTTGATATAATCCCTTTGGTCTATTTTGGTTTTTGTTTCCTATGCACTTGAGGTCTTACCCCTTGCAAAAAAATCTTCACCCAGAACAATGTCCTGAAGCTGTTCCCCAATATTTTTTTTAGTAATTTTGTAATATCTGGTCTTACATTTATTTTATTTTTATTTGATTTTTGTATATTATGAAATAGGGATATAGTTTTATTCTTCTGCATATGGATATACAGTTTTTCCAGCATCACTTATAGAAGAGACTATTCTGTTCACAATACATATTCTTGGCACCATTGTAAAAAATGAGTTGGCTATAAATGTATGGATTTATTTCTGGGTTCTCTATTCTGTTTCATTCATCTGTGTGTCTGTTTTTATGCCAAAACAATTCTGTTTTGATTACTATAGCTTTGTAGTGTATTTTGATGTCAGGTGGTATCATGTATACAACTTTGTGCTTTGCTCAGGATTGCTTTGGTAATTTGGGGTCTTTTGTGGTTCCTTACTAATTTTAGAATTTCACTTCTATTTAAGTGAAGGATATCATTGGCATTTTGATAATTATATCAATAAATCCATAGAGAGCTCTAAGTAGCAGGGACATTTTAAAAAATATCAATTATTCCAATCCATGAACATGGCATATCTTTCCAATTGTCCCTTTCGTCTTCAATTTTCTTTCATTTTTTAAAACAAGTCTAAGTGGAATTGGCTTTTTTAATTTTTTAAGATTGTTCACTTGGCATATAGAAATGCTATTGAATATTGTATGTTTATTTTGTATTCTGTAACATTGCTTAATTCATTTATCAGTTTTAACAGTTTTTCTGGAGTCTTTAGGGTTATTCTAAATGTAAGTTTATGTTGTCTGCAAACAAGGCTACAGGTATTGATCAACTTACGACCTATGCAACTTATGACCATTCGACTTTATGACCACAATCGCTAGCCATGACTGCTCTGTGTCTGGCAGCGCAAACATTGCCCAGCTGGGCGTATGACAGTGCAGACCAGCTTCTGGCAGCATTACCATCTCCGTGTGCACCATTTCAACTGTACATATAGCCTACTCAACTTACGACCAAATCGTGTTACGACCGTTCGCAGTCCTGGCCGTGGTCGTAAGTTGAGCACTAGCTGTAGTTTATTTCTTGCTTTCCAGTTTGTCTGCTTATTTTTTTCTTTCTCTTGCTCTTGTCTACTTGCTCTGGCTAGGACTTCCAATATGTTGAATAAAAGCAGTGAAAGTTGGCACCCTTGGTTTGTTCTAGATCTTAGAGAAAAGGGTTAGCTGGGGTTTTTCGTATATGGCCTTTATTGTGCTGAAGTATGTTTCTTCTTTACCCAGTTTGTTAAGAGATTTTTATCATGACGGAGTGTTAAACACTAGCAAATGCTTTTTCTGCATCTGTTAAAATGATGCTGTTTTTGTCCTTTATTCTGCTGATGTGATGAATCATATTTATTGATTTACTCATGTTGACTGTCGTTGCATTACTGGGATAAACACCACTTGATCGTGATGCATTATCTTTTTGATGTGTGGCTAGGTTTTGTTTGCTGTTTTTTTTTTTTTTTTTTTTTTTAGAATTTTTTGCATTTATGTTCATCAGTGTGATTGGTCTGTAGTTTTATCTTTGTTGTGTCCTTGTCTGGTTTTGGTATCAGTATAATGCTGGCCTCAGAGAATGACACCAGAAATTCCTCTTCAGTTTTTTGAAATCCTTTGAGAACAATTGGTATTCTTCTTTAAAAGTTTGGTGGAATTCAGGAGTAAAGCCATCTGGTTCTGGGCTTTTTATGTTGGAAGACTTTTTTATTATTGATTCCATGTAATTACTCTATCTGTTCAGGTTTTCTACTTTTTTGATACTATATTTTTATTTTATTTCTTATGACTTATTTATTTATTTATTTTATTATACTTTAAGTCCTGGGGTACATGTGTAGATTGTGCGGGTTTGTTGCATAAGTGTACATGTGTCATGGTGGTTTGCTGCATCCATCCCCTGGTCATCTACATTAGATATTTCTCCTAATGCTATCCCTCCCTGCAATCCTCCATGCCCCTGCTATGCCTTCATTAGACCCCTCCACCCCATGACAAGGACTTCCTGACTAAAACACCAAAAGCAATGGCAACAAAAGCCAAAATAGACAAATGGGATCAATTAAACTTAAGAGCTTCTGCACAGCAAAAGAAACTATCATTAGAGTGAACCAGCAACCAACAGAATAGAAATAAATTTTTGAAATCTACCTATCTGATGAAAGGCTAATAACCATAATCTATGAAGAACTTAAACAAATTTACAGGAAAAAAACAACCCCATCAAAAAGTAGGTGAAGGATATGAACAGACACTTTTCAAAGGAAGACATTTATGCACCCAACAAACATATGACAAAAAGCTTATCATCACTGGTCATTAGAGAAATGCAAATCAGGTTTTCTACTTCCTGGTTCAATCTTGATAGGTTATATGTGGCCAGTAATTTGCCTGTTTCCTCTAAGTTTTTCAATTTGTTGGTACATAGTTGTTTATAATAGTCTCTAATGATGCTCTGTAATTCTGCGGTATCAATTCTATTGTTTCATTTTTTTAAATTTTTGTTTATGTGAGTTTTTTTTTCTAGATGACAATTTGTTGACTTTATCTTTCCAAAGAACCAATTTTTTGTTTCCTTTTTAAAATATTTTAAAATTTCAAGTTCATTAAATTTGCTCTGATCTTTATTATTTCTTTCCCTGTATTAACTTTGAATTTGGTTTGTTCTGCTTTTTAATCCTTCAATTGATACCATTACATTGTTTATTTGAAATTTTTCTACTTTTTTGATAGAGGCACTTATTGCTATATAATTCCCTGTTAATGCTTTTGCTGTGTCCCGTGGGTTTGGGTGTTGTGTTTTCATTTTAATTGATTCAAAAATTTTTCATTTCCTTCTTAATTCTTTCATTGACTTATTAATAATCCAAGGGCATGTTATTTAATATCCATGTTTCTACAGTTTTCAGTGTTCCTCTTCTTATTTATATCTCATTTTATTTCATTTTAGTTTGAGATAATAACTGATATGAGTTTGAGTTTTTAATATTTGTTTAGACTTATTTGTGGCCTAATATGTGATATTCCATGTGTCAAAGAGAAGAATGTGTATTCTGTACTTTATCTTAGCCAAAAGGCCAAGAAGTGATAAGAATGTATATTCAGTAGTTGTTGGAGGAAATGTTCTGTAAATGTCTGTTAGTTTCATTTGATATCCAGTGCAGTTTAAGTTTAATGTTTCTTTGTTGATTTTCTGTCTAGTTAATATCCAGTGATGACAGTGAGATGTTGAGGTTTCCAACTATTGTTGTATTGTATTGGGGACACTCTCTCCTTAGCACTAATAATAATTTGTGTTTATAACTGGGGTTCTCTAGGGTTAGCTTTGTATATGTTTTTAATTGTTATATCCTCTCTCTGGATTGATCTCTATATCATTATATAATAATCTTTTTGTCTTCTTTTTTTAAATTGAAAGTTTATTTGTCTATTGTAAATATAGCTATTTCTGAACTCTTAGTTTCCATTTGTGTGCGTAATCTTTTTCGATTCATTTACTCTGTCTATGTGTGTCTCTACAGGTAAAATGAATTTCTTGTAGGCATCATACAGTTGCTTCTTGTTTTTTTGTTATCAGTTCGGTCCATCTATACCTTTTAATTCAGGAATTAAGTGGTATAAATATACCACTTAATGTAAGTGTTATAAGTATACCACTTACATTCAAGATTGTTATTGATAAGAACTTGTTCTTGTCATTTTGTCTTCTAATTGTTTTGTCGATGTTATTTTCTTTCTGTGTTATTTCTTAGTTTTGTGATTTGGTAGCTTTTTATATTCACAACATTTGATTTCTTTCTTCTTTTCATTTGTGTGTCCCCTCTTCCAGTGTGTTTTTGATATTTGTCCCTTTTGATATTTGGAAATTTGTCCCTTTCTACCATGTTTACAGGTTTCTAGCAGGGACATGTGCTTCTGGAACTAGATTTCACTCACAAAATCTTCAGCCCTAGTAGTTGATTTTAGTTCATCAATCCGAATCACTACTTCCTAACATAAATTCCTCCTTAATAACTTTCAGGTATTTTTCCTATTATTAAACATGGTTAGTAGTTTCTAAATCCAACAAAAAAGTCAAATTATGTAAAAACTCAAATGGAAAAGTACCCAATTTTACTTCTCTTATTTCTGCAAATTTAATCATATCCTAAGCTACGAGGTCCACATGCTAAGAGGAGCTAAGAGGGCATGTTTTCCTCAGTCTACAAGATACCTTATTATTTTCATCACTGATGCTTACTTAGTTTATAATTAAATAACCTAAAAATTGCGTTAAAATATTTCTGAATGAGTCAAATAATTTCTGTACTATAATAATTTCCTGTGATTATGAAGATCACCATTTTTAAGTTCCTAGGTGAAAAAAATGTTATGTTTCATCTTACCAGGTATATCAATGTGATTCAATGTAAACTTTAAAGTCATGTTACTATCATTACTTTAATTCTGTAGGATGTTTTAATTTTGCATTAGAGATAACATTGTATGGGAAATGCATTGTTAAAGTATTGTGAGACATCAGTTTGTGCCACAACTTTGTTATTACCTGGGTATATGGTCTTGGTCAAATCACTAAACATCTCTATGCCTCAATATGCTAACGCTTATATTGATTGCTAACAGATCTTCCACTCCTATGTTTAGTGATTTGGCAATTCAGACATTCACTGTAACTTTTATTCATTAATAGCAGAGGCCAATTAATCTAATGCACACACACACACACACACACACACACACACACACACCCACCCCTCACATTCCTATGTAAGGATTACCTTGCAAAGTATTTTTAAATCTATTTATTTCTATAGAGACTGATATAGAAAGCTTGAAGGGTGCTTTGGGAAGACGCTTATTAAAGGATGAATTCAAGACACAGTTAAAGAGTTTTCCTGGTAAGAAAAATATTTTCAAGTCTAATATTTCTCATTTATTTTTCTCCTTTAAAGTTTAAGTGTGTATCTTTAATAGCAAGTGTACTCATTTGCTAATATGATATGGGCACAGGTTCTCATGAATACCCTCCCATATTTGGTTGTACTCTAGAACATATTTACTACAAGTGTAAAGCTAGCTCGATATTATTACCTTTAGGACTCGTCCACTTAGAAAGTAATCCAAAATAATATAATTTAGTGAACTTAGAATATATTGGGACAAGTATGTCCAAAGCTCTTCTAGTCCCTTTCTATTTACAGTTTAAATAGAAAGTTGCTTTAAATTTGCTAAAGCAGAAAGGCTTTCTGATGAGTGCAGTAAGTAAAGGAAAAGGACAATTACTTTATTGTTATCAATTCCGTCTATACCTTTTATGGTTTGCTTGCACGTGCTGTCATAATGAATAGATTTCCAAGATATTTTTCCTTATTAGAACTGGTAGCCAGTATATTAAATATTGATATAAAAATAAATGAAAAGAACTGGAACCAGATACAGAATCATGAAAACAACACTTTTACAACAACAACAAACTATATTAAACAGGATTTAAAGGAAATTAGAACTATGAGAGTGCAATTTCTTATAGTATAGTATCAAATTTCTATATAGATTTTATATCTCAGTGGGGAAAAGTAACTGATTCCAATGACATTCATTTTGTTTTTATCTGTGATAGTCATGGATGCTTTTATTTTCCTTGGGGTGCTGAAATTGAGCTGAAAAAAAGGCTCTTTGAATGTAGTTTAAATTTCTCTCTACAGTTTTTTTGTTTGTTTGTTTGGTTTGTCGGCTGTTGGAATTGTAATTTTTAATTGCCTTCTTTAAAAATGGGAATTTAACATAATGTCTGGTCTCAACTGAACAAATTAGATGTTTCAGTTGCTCTTGGGTTAACTGGCTTATAGATTCACATGTGCATACACACGCACACAAATTTCTTATCACATTTTAAACTTCTTAACTTGACCCACCTGATTATGCTTAATACCAAAGATCCATACTACTTTACCACAGATTTGTTTTCACAGCAATAAATCTTCACTTCTTTATGATTCCACTTAAAAAAAAAAAAAGAGGCTGTACAAACATAGTGCCAGCATCTGCTTGTCTTCCGCGGAGGCTTCAGGGTGCTCTTACTCATGGCAGAAAGTAAAGCAGAACAGGCATGTTACATGGCAAGAGCAGGAGCACAAGAAAAAAGGGGGAAGGTGCCACACACTTTTGAACAACTGGATCTCAGAAGAACTCATATTCTATTGTGAGAAAAGCACCAAGCCATGGAGAAGGATCTGCCCTGCGACACAAACACCTCCCACCAGATCCTACCTCCAACATTGGGATTGCATTTCAACATGAGATTTAGACAGGAAAAACATACAAACCATATCACAGGGGAAAGAAGCTTCGGTAAATAATCAAGACAAATCACAGATCAAATAAATAAGCAAACAATAATAATATGCCTCAGGAAGAAGAGGAGAAAATCAAAATCAAGAGTTGCTACATTATATGTCTAAACTGTTCAGTTTTTAGCATAAGATTATGAGTTATTTTAATAAAGAAGAAAGTATGACCCATAGACAGAAGAAAAGTAGGCAACAAAAACAGCTTATGAGAATTCTAGCTGTTGGACTTAGCAGACAATGACTACAAGGCAGTTATTGTAAATATATTGAAAGAAATAAAGGAAATCATTCTTTGAAAAGAAAAGGAAGGTATTACGACAATGTTTCATCAAATAGAAAATATAAAGAGATATAAAATATTTTACAAAGGACTACATGGAAATTGTGGCATTAAAAAGTACAAAAACTGGAAATAAACATTTACTGGAGAGGCTCAAGTACATTTGAACTGTCTGAAGAAAGAATAAAAAACTTAAAAGTATTAAAACTTAAAGTATTAAAACACCACCCTTACACATCCTGGCCAGTGGCATTGCTCTAGAGAGGGAGCTTATGCTGAGTCACACACACCCTGACAACCCAGCAGATGCGGCATAGTGCCTTTTTTTTTTTTTTTTTTTTTTTTTTTGAGACAGAGTCTCACTCTTTCACCCAGGCTGGAGTGCAGTGGCATGATCTTGGCTCACTGCAACCTCTGCCTCCTGGGTTCAAGCAGTTCTACTAACCACCTCCCAAGTAGCTGGGATTACAGGCACATACCACCACGCCCAGCTAAATTTTGTATTTCCACTCTTAGAGCCCCACTGACATTCCCCTGCATCTCTGCAGTGAGCTGCAGAAGTGCAGTCCTAGTTGGGCCTAGCAACGTGGCGGGATCCTTAGCACTCAAGTGTTCAACATGCTGGGGAATGGGTGGTACAGCACACTGAAGTGGTTGCCCTTGGGATAAATGGAGCTGAAGTATGCAGTGCCCAAAACCCAGAATATGTGAGTCCAATGCTATTGCTGCAATTCTGCCCCCGTAATTAGGAGGACTACCATGCACTTGCATATGCCCTAAGGACAAGCTCTCATCTGTCACCACCACCAGAGGCTGAAGCATGTGTTCACCAGAGCCTGAGGACCACTTTCCTGGGACCACTACCACTGAGAGCAACTCAATCCTACCCAGTGGCAGAACCACCACACAGTTGCATGCACCCTGAGGACAAACTCTCCCTGCCAACTGCCATTGCTGTTAATGCCACCCAGACACGCCACTTGGGGTCCTGGGGATATCCTCACCCTGCCTGCCACAGCATGCACCCATGCATACCATTGGGGGATATGAGAACCAGCCCTCTCAGCCTGCAACCATGTCTCAGTGCCCAAAAGTGCCACCTAAGGGGACTGGGGATTACCTTGCCCCATCCATTGCCCTGGGTATGTATGGACACCAGAGAACTTCACAAGAGACCCAGAAACCTGCCACCAGCACCATAGCATGCCACCCAAAGGCCAGGAGCTCATTCTGCCCCATCCACCACGACAGGCATCTGTGCACTCTTCCTGGGTCCTGGAGGATGAATTCACTCGCCAGTTGCAGCCACTACTAACACCAGTGCATGCCACTTGGGAACCTGTGGGTTGTTTCACCACTGTGACTTTTATTGTCCACATAATGTACACTGTCTAGGGGCTAAAGGACCCACCTACCTGCATTATGTAGCAAGCACTCAAGCAAGCCACCTAGAGGCCCAAGAATTAGCCTGCCTGGACTCACTAATCCTAATGCTGACATATCATGTAGGGGCTCAAGGATAGGCATGCTCAGCCATTGCTATCACTAATGAGGCCAAGGACTGACTCACCTGGGGTCCCTGTCGCCAGTAAAGCCTCACAACAGCACCCACTAACAACTATAGCCTAAGCCATTGAGGAAATGGCAGACATCACTGACACTGTTTATAGCTGAAAAAAATTATACAGAGGCTATATACCACTGCATATACCCAGACTGAAAGGTAAAATGCCCAACCCAGGGTAGGCATGGTGACTCATGACTATACCCCAGCACTTTGGGAGGTGAAGGTGGCAGGATCACTTGAGGCCAGACATTTGAGACCAGCCTTGGTTCAAGACCAGTGAGATACTGGTCTTTTTTTTTTTTTTTTTTTTTTTTTTTTTTCATTTAAAAACTACCCTATCCAACCAACAGCATAGATAGCATCTTCAGGAAAATGTTTTGCTCTATGAAAGCCAATCCACAAAATTGAGAGAAGTGACTATTAAATGAGATGACAGACATAAGTACACAAGAAACATGAAAAAGCAAGGAAATGTGACACCTCAAAAAGAACACAGTAATTCTTCAGCAACAGATATTAGTGAAAAAGAAATTAATAAAATACCTGAAACAGAATGAAAAATAATGATATTAAAGAAGCTCAACGAGGTAGAAGAGAACACAGATAAATAATACAAAGAAATCAGCAAAACAATTTTGAAATGAATGAGAAATTTATTAAAGAGATAGATATCATTAAGAAAAGAGCTAAACAGAAATCCTGTAATTCAGTTCAATGAATAAAATAAAAAATACATTCAAGATCTTCAACAATTACTAGGCAAAGCAGAAGAAAAAAAAAATTCAGAACTTCAAGAGAAGTCATTTGAAATAACACAGTCAGACAAAAGAGAGAGGGAGAGAGAGAGAGGAAAAAAAGAATGTAAAAGAATGAATAATGCTTATGTAACATGGAACATCATAAAGTGACCAACTTTTCAAATTGTGGGTGTTCCGGATGGTCGAGAGAAAAGGTATATAAAAACTATTTAATAAAATAATGGCTGAAAACTACCCATATCAGTAAGAGATTCCCAAATAGACACAACCTAAAAGATTTGTACAAGGCACATTATAGTCAAACTGTCGAAAGTAAAAGAGAGAGATAAAAGTCACATATAAGGGAACTGTTATCAGACTAACAGTGGATTTCTTAGCAGAAATCGTACAGGCTAGGAGAAAAGATGATATATTCAAAGGGCTGAAAGAAAACAGGCAAGAATAATATATTCAGCAAAGTTACTGTTTATGAAGGAAAAATAAAGTATTTTCTAGACAAACAAAAACTGAAGAAATTCATCATCATTAGGCTGGCCCTACAAGAAATGCTTAAAGGAGTACTAAGTTAAGCAAAAGGATATCCACTTTCATAAAACTGGATGTGCAAACACACAAACGAGGAAGAAAAAGAACTCAAATGTGACTATGACAGAAAATCACCAAACTGCAATGATAAACAACACAACAGAAAAAGGAAGAAAGGATAAACAAAACAAGCAGAACATAAGAAAACCATAGGAATAAGTCCTCACGTATCAATAATGATCTTGAATGTAAACAGAGAGTGGCTGAATGGATTTTAAAAACATGACCAAACTATATACTGCCTATAAGAAAGTCACTTCACCAGTAAAGCAACATATAGACTGCTAGGAAAGGAATGGAAAAAATATTCCATGCAAATAGAAAACAGAAGTGAGGAGGAGTAGGTATACTTATTTCAGGTAAAATAGATTTTAAGTCAAAAACAATAAAAATAGACAGCATAATTAGATAATGATAAAAGAATCAATTCAGAAAGAAGATATACGAATTTTAAACTTATACTCAACGTTGATGCATCCAGATATATAAAGCAAGTATTAAATCTAATGTGAGAGAGACTCCAATAAAATAATAGCTAGAGACTTCTCATTCTCATTCTCAGCATTAGGCAGATCATCTCATTCTCATTCTCAGCATTAGGCAGATCATCTAAGTAGAAAATCAACAAAGAAACATTGAGCTTAAACATCAATATAGACCAAATGGCCCTAACAGATAATTACAAGTATTTTATTTAATAGCTGCAGGACACACATTCTTCTCATCAGCACATGGAACATTCTCCAGGTTAGATCATATGTTAGGCTACAAAAGAAGTCTTAGCAAATTTTTAAAAATCAAAATCGTATCAAGTATCTTGTTAGACCATGACAGATGAAAACTAGAAATCATTAACCAGAAGAACTTTGGAAACTGTATGAACACATGGAAATTAAGCTAAATGCTCATGAATGACCATTGACTCAATGAAGAAATTAAAAAATAAATCAAAAAATTCTTGAAATAAATGCAAAGGAAAACACAGCACACCAAAACCTATGGGATATAACAAGAACAATGTTAAAAATGGAAGTTTATAGCAATAAATACCTCCATCAAAAAGCAGAAAGATTTCAAATAAATTAACAATGCACCTCAAGACTAAAAAAGCAAAAACAAACCACCCACAACAAAATTTGATAGAAGGAAATAAATAATAAGAATCAGAGCAGAACTAAGCGAAATAGATACTTAAACAAAGGATCAACCAAATCAAAACTTGGTGTTTTAAAAGACAAAATTAATAAAACATTAGGTAGACTAACTTATAAAAAGATAGAAAATACAAATTAACAAAATCAGAAATGAAAAAGGAGATAGAACTGATGCTGCAGAATTATAAAACATCATCAGAAAATATTATGAACAACTATGCTGATAAACTGGCAAATCTAGAGGACATAGATAGATTTCTGGACACATATAGCCTACCAAGATTGAATTAAGAAGAACTAGAAAACCTGGTTAATGGGTACTACAAACATACTGTTACATACAAAGAATAAGTTCCAAAGTTCAGTAGCAGAGGATGTTTATTATAGTTATTGACAATGTATTTTATATCTGAAAACAGCTAAAAAGAGGTCTAGAAATGTTCTCAACACATAACCAGATGGCCTCACTGACAATTTTTTCCCAAACTTTCAGAGAACTAACACCAATTCCCCTCAAACTGTTCCAAAAAAATTAAAGAGGATGGAATTTTCTGTAACTCAATCTACAAGGCCAGCATTTACTCTGATACCAAATCAGACAAGGACATAAAAAAGAAATAAAATTACGGGCAAATATCTCTGATGAATATAAACATAAAAATCCCCAACAAAATGCTAGCAAACCAAATTCAACAACATATCAAAAAGATAATACACTGTGATCAAGTCAGATCTATCCCAGGGGTGTAAGGGTGGTTTAACATAGGCAAATCAATAAACAAGGTACATCAACAGAAAGAAGGACAAAACCATACAATCATCTGAGTAGATGCAGAAGAAGCCTTTGATAAAATTTAACATTCCTTCATGATAAAACTCTCAACAACCTAGGCATAAATGGAACATCCCTCAAACTAATAAAGTCCACAAATGACAAACCCACAGCTAACATCATCCTCAATAAAGATAAACCGTTGAGGTGTGGCTGGGCAAGGTGGAGCACACCTGTCATCCCAGGCAGGTGGATCACTAGGTCAAGAGATTGAGACCAGCCTGACCAACATGGTGAAACCCTGTCTCTACTAAAAATACAAAAATTAGCCAGTCATGGTGGTGGGCACCTGTAATCCCAGCTACTTGGGAGGCTGAGGCAGGAGAATCACTTGAACCTGGAAGGCAGATGTTGCAGTGAACCAAGATTGTGCCACTGCACTTCAGCCCAGTGACAATGAGTCTTCATGTCAAAAAAAAAAAAAAATTGTTGAGGTGATAGATATCCTAAATAATCTGACTTTTTATGCACACTGCACATATAACCAAATATCATGTGTACCCCATAAATATGCACAAATGCTATCTATTAACAAAAAAGAAAACAACAAGATGTGGTAACCTGAAACCACAGGAAAAAAATTAATAGAACCAGAAATTATAAATAAGGTTAATATAAAAGCCATTGGAAATATGTACTTCTTTCTTGCCTCAGATTTTTTAAAAAGCATAAAATTATATACAGAAATGATTATAGCCAGGCACAGTGACTCATGCCTGCAATCCCAGCATGTTGGGAGACAGAGGTAAGCAGATCGCAGGTTCAGGAGTTCAAGACCAGCCTGGCCAACATGGTGAAACTCCATCTCTACTAAAGATACAAAAAAATTAGCCAGGCATGGTGATACACACCTGTAATCCCAGCTGCTTGGAAGGCTGAGGCAGGAGAATTGCTTGAACCTGGTAAGCAGAGGTTGCAGTGAGCCGAGATCGCACCATTGCACTCTAGCCTGGGTGACAGGGCCACAGGGCACTACTGTGTCTCACAAGAAAAAAAAAAGAAAGGAAAGAAAGAATTATAATAATAACTACAACCATGTCTTTATTATTTACAAATGCATTATGTATAACAATAGCACAAAAATGGGAACAGGGAATACAGCTATGTAAGAGTAACTTTTCTATATTTCACTGGAATTTAGTATAAATCTAAAGTACTTTTTAAAGTTGACTGTGATGATGGTGACAGACATTACTGAATGTATTAAAAACCATAGAATTTAAGATTGTAAATAGCCTACTAAAATATTCAGTGAACTTCAAGGAGAAAAGTGTTTTTAATGAGTTAAAGCAAGGGGAGGATATTGTGAAGGACAAAAATTGTGACTCTTATTAGATTGTAAGTGTCTCCAGCACATACCTTTTAATTTCTAGTTATTTAACCCAATCCCTCAAATTATCTCATTTTTTTCCCTGAATGTGTAAGGATCATTTGCTTGCTCATTTCAAATGAAGTGGTCCTTCTTAGATACATCAGCTGAAGAAAGAGCAAAGGAAGCTAAAATAAATCTGCTGATGTTTCCAGTTTTGAGTTGCTATATCTCTTATATTGCTACTTAATTACTGAAAACTTGTTCTGCTCACTCTCATAGGTAACTTTTTACTTTCGTAATGAGGCAATGCTCAGTATAGAATGCAGTTGTGGCATATTTGAGCAGCTGGTGTCATAACCGTTTGCATTATTCATGTATTCATCAATTTTTCCAAAACAGCAATGAGAACAAGTCACTCTACAATACAGTGACAGGATTAACAGGTGTCCAATCATAGTTATATACTCTGCTAGAGCCAGTTCTACCCATAGAATCTTAAGCCCAATGTTGACCTTATGTCACCAATCTTCATTATCCCCTTTTCAATATGAATTTCTTTTTAGCATTTTTATGCATTTTTATATCATTGAACTTAATAGTTTCTAATTCCACAAAAATATTAAATCACATAAAACTTAAATGGAAATGGATCCAATAACAGTTCTGGTAGTGTTGCAAATCTGACCATTACCTCCTTGATTCACATTCAAGTGACCTCAGTGGCAGTTTCTCAGTTTGACAAATATCTTATTTTTTCATAACTAATATCTAAAGAATTTACAGTTACATACATTAAAAAAGGAAAGAAATATTCCTCGATGAGTCAAATAATTTCTGCCTCTTGATAAGTTTCTGTGACTAACAAGGCCATGGTTTGCAGCTTGACCTATGGGAAAAAAAAATGTTCCATCTTAGCTACTACATACCTTCAGGCTGAGTAGGTTTTTAGTGTAAACTTGAAAGATACATTATCATCGTAATGTCCCTTAGGATGATTTGAATTTGCCTAAGAGATAGCAGTGTATAGAACAATTCCTGGTTAAGAAATTATTCAGCATCGGGTTGTGGATCAGTTTTACCTTTTCCTGGATATATGATCTTTCAATTCATTAAACATATCTAAGCCTGAATATAGTTTGCTTATGTAATTTTTAACAGCCTTTCCTTTTCAAGGTTTTTGTTATTTTCCAATCCAGAAATTTCACTTTTATTTTTCTTCTATAAATACAATTTTTCTTTTTTTGGGGACAGAATCTTGCTCTATCACCAGGCTGTAGTTCAGTGGCGTGATCTCAGCTCACTGCAACCTCTGCCTCCCGGGTTCAAGTGATTCTCCTGCCTCAGCCTCATGAGTAGCTGGGGCTACAGGCACGTGCCACCACACCCAGCTAATTTTTTTTTTTTTAATTTTTAGTAGAGACAGGGTTTCACCATGTTGGCCAGAATGGTCTCAATCTCTTCACCTCGTGATCTGCCCGCCCCAGCCTCCCAAAGTACTGGGATTACAGGCATAAGCCACCGTGCCCAGCCACAAATGTTTTAAGTTACTAACACACACACCTGACATTTGTAGATAAATGATTATCTTATAGTGTTTTGATATCTGTTTATTTCTTTAGGGCCTGATATAGAACAATTGACAGGTGCATTTGGAAGAGGTATACTAAAGGATGAATTTAGACCAATATCAAAGAGTCCCCCTGGTAAGAACAAAAACTACAAATTTATTATTTCTGGTTAGTTTATATTCTCTGGAGTGTAACTAAATGTGGATCTTTAAGGAGAATCATGCCTATAAATTATTACATAGGCAAAAATCTTCATGAATTACTCTCTATAATATTTCAACTCCAGTTTCAACTAGTAATATAAAATTAGCTTTTCTTTTTTTAAAATTATACTTTAAGTTCTGGGGGACATGTGCAGAATGTGCAGGTTTGTTATGTAGGTATACACGTGCCATAGTGGTTTGCTGCATCCATCAGCCCGTCATCTACATTAGGTATTTCTCCTAATGCTATCCCTCCCCTAAACCCCCATCCCCCAAGAGGCCCTTGTGTGTGATGCTCTCCCTGGTCCATGTGTTCTCATTGTTCAGCTCCCACTTATGAGTGAGAACTTGTGATGTTTGGTTGTCTAGTCTTGTGTTAGTTTGCTGAGAATGATGATTTCCAGCTTTATCCATGACCCTGCAAAGGACATGAACTCATTTTTTTTTTTTTTTTATGGCTGCATGGTATTCAATGGTGTATATGTGCCACATTTTCTTTATCCAGTCTATCATTGATGGACATTTGGGTTGGTTTCAAGTCTTTGCTGTTGTAAACAGTACCACAATGAACATACATGTGCACATGTCTTTATAATAGAATGATTTATACTTTTTTGGGTATATACACAGTAATGGGATTGTTGGGTCAAATGGAATTTCTATTTCTAGACCCTTGAGGAATCGCCACACTGTCTTTCACAACGGTTGAACTAATTTACACTCCCACCAACAGTGTAAAAGCATTCCTATTTCTCTACATCCTCTCCAGCATCTGTTGTTTCTTGTCTTTTTAATGATTGCCATTCTAACTGGCGTGAGATGGTATCTCACTGTGGTTTTGATTTGCATTTCTCTAATGACGAGTGATGATAACCTTTTCCCCATGTTTGTTGGATGTATACATGTCTTCTTTTGAAAAGCGTCTGTTCATATCCTTTGCCCACTTTTTGATGGGGTTGTTTTTTTCTCATAAATTTGTTTAAGTTCATTGTAGATTCTGGTTATTAGCACTTTATCAGATGGGTAGATTGCAAAATTATTTTCCCATTCTGTTCGTTGCTGGTTCACCCTAATGATAGTTTCTTTTGCTGTGCAGAAGCTCTTTAGATCCCATTTGTCTATTTTGGCTTTTGATGCCATTGTTTTTGTTGTTTTAGTCAGGAAGTCTTTGCCCGTGCCTATGTCCTGAATCATATAGCGTAGGTTTTCTTCTAAGGTTTTTATGGTTTTAGGCCTTACACATATGTCTTTAATCCATCTTGTGTGAATTTTTGTATAAGGTGCAAGAAAGGAGTCCAGTTTCAGTTTTCTGTATATGGCTAGCCAGTTTTTCCAATACCATTTATTAAATAGGGAATCCTTTCTCCATTGCTTTTTCTTGTCAGGTTTGCCAAAGATCACATGGTTGTAGATGTGTGGTGTTATTTCTGAAGCCTGTGTTCTGTTCCATTGTCCTATATATCTGTTTTGGGACCAGTACTATGCTGTTTTGATTACTGTAGCCTTGTAGTATACTTTGAAGTCAGGTAGCATGATGCCTACAGCTTTGTTCTTTTTGCTTAGGATTGTTTTGGCTATATGGACTCTTTATTGGTTCCTCATTAAATTTAAAGTAGTTTTTTCCAATTCTGTGAAGAAAGTCAATGGTAGCTTGGTGGAGATAGCATTGAATCTAGAAATTACTTTGGGTAGTATGGCCATTTTCACAATATTGATTCTTCCTAACCATGAGTATGGAATGTTTTTCCATTTGTTTGTTTCCTTTCTTATTTCCTTGAGCAGTGGTTTGTAGTTCAGTTCTCCTTGAAGAAGTCCTTCACGTCCCTTGTAAGTTATATTCCTAGGTATTTATTTCTCCTTGTAGCAATTGTGAGTGGTTTGGTTTTCTCACGATTTGGCTCTCTGTTTTTCTGTTATTAGTGTATAGGAATGTTTGTGATTTTTGCACATTGATTTTATATCCTGAGACTTTGCTGGAGTTACTTATCAGCTTAAGGAGATTTTGGGCTGAGATGATGGGGTTCTAAATATACAACATGTCATCTAAAACAGAGATAATTTGATTTCCTTTTTTCTAATTGAATACCCTTTATTTCTTTATCTTGCCTGATTGCCCTGACTAGAACTTCCAATATTATGTTGAATACAAGTGGTGAGAGAGGGCATCTTTATCCTACGCCAGTTTTCAAAGGATGCTTCCAGCTTTTGCCCATTAAGTATGATATTGGCTGTGGGTTTGTCATAAATAGCTCTTATTATTTTGTGATACGTTCTATCAATACCTAGTTTATTGAGAGTTTTTAGCATGAAGGTGTGTTGAATTTTGTCAAAGGCCTTCTCTGCATCTATTGAGATAATCATTTGGTGTTTATCTTTGGTTCTGTTTATGTGATGGATTACATTTATTGATTTGCATATGTTGAACCAGACTTGCATCCCAGGGGTGATGCTGACTTGATTGTGGTGGATAAGCTTTTTGATGTGTTGTTGGATTCTGTTTGCCAGTATTTTATTGAGGATTTCCACATCAATGTTTATCAGGGTTATTGGCCTGAAATTTTCTTTTTTTGTTCTGTCTCTGCTAGATTTTGTATCAGGATGATGTTGGCCTCATGAAATGAGTTAGGGAGGATTCCTTTTTCTTCTGTTGTTTGGAATAGTTTCAGATGGAATGATTCCAGCTCCTCTTTGTATCATTGGTAGAATTTGGCTGTGAAACCATCTGGTCCTGGACTTTTTTTGGTTGATAGGCTATTAATCCCTGCCTCAACTTCAGAACTTGTTATTGGTCTCTTCGTGGATTCTACTTCCTGGTTTAGTCTTGGGAGGGTGTAGGTTTCCAGGAATTTATTCATTTATTCTAGATTTTCTGGTTTATTTGTGTAGCGGTGTTTATAGTATTCTCTGATGGTAGTTTGGATTTCTATGGGATCAGTGGTGATATCCCCTTTATTGTTTCTATTGCATCTATTTGATTCTTCTCTCTTTTCTTCTTTATTAGTCTGACTAGCAGTCTATCTATTTTCTTGATCGGTTCAAAAAACCAGCTCCTGGATTTTTTGAAGTGTCTTTTTTGTGTCTCTATCTCCTTCAGTTCTGCTTCAATCTTAGTTATTTATTGTCTTCTGCTAGCTTTTGAGTTTGTTTGCTCTTGCTCCTCTAGTTTTTTTAATTGTAACATTAGGGTATAGGTTTTAGATATTTCCCACTTTCTCTTGTGGGCATTTAGTGCTATAAATTAGGTCTACACACTGCTTTAAATGTGTCCCAGATATTCTGATACATTGTGTCTTTGTTCTCATAGGTTTCAAAAACCATCTTTATTTCTGCCTTAATTTTGTTATTTATCCAGTAGTCATTCAGCAGCAGGTTGTTTAGTTTCCATATCATTGTGCAGTTTTGAGTGAGTTTCTTAATCCTGAGTTCTAATTTGATTGCACTGTGGTCTGAGAGACTGTTTGTTATGATTTCCATTCTTTTGCATTTGCTGAGGAGTGCTTTACTTCCATTATGTGGTCAATTTTAGGGTAAGTCCAATGTGGTACTGAGAATAATGTATATTCTGTTGATTTGGGGTGGTGAGTTCTGTAGACGTCTATCAGGTTCACTTGGTCTAGAGCTGACTTCAAGTCCTGGATATCCTAGTTAATTTCCTGTCTTATTTATCTGTCTAATATTGACAGTGGGGTGTTAATGTCTCCCACTATTATTGTGTGGTTGACTAAGTCTCTTTGTTGGTTGTTAAGAACTTGCTTTATATATCTGGGTGTTCCTGTATTGGGTGCATATATATTTATGCTATTTAGCTCTTCTTGTTGCATTGATCCCTTTACCATTATGTAATGCCCTCTTCCCTCTCCCTTCCCTCCCCTTTCTCTCTCTCTTCCCTTTCCATTTGCTTGGTCCCATTTCTTTATCCTTTTTTTTTTTTTTTTTTTTTTGAGCCTACATGTGTCTTTGAACGTGAGATGGGTCTCTTGAATACAGTACATTGTTTGGTCTTGACTTTTTATCCAGTTTGCCAGTCTGTGTCTTTTATTTAGGGCATTTAGCCCATTTACATTTAAGTTTAATATTATGTGTGAATGTGATCCTGCCATTATGATGTTAACTGGTTATTTTGCCTGTTAGTTAATGCAGTTTCTTCATAGCATCAATGGTCTTTACAATTTGGTATGTTTTTGCTGTGGCTGGTACCAGTTGTGTTTTCCATGTTTAGTGCTTCCTTCAGGAGCTCGTGTAAGGCAGGTGTGGTAGTGACAAAATCTTTCAGGTTCTGCTTGTATGTAAAGTATTTTATTCCTTCTTTGCTTTTAAAGCTTAGTTTGTTTGGATATGAAATTCTGAGCTGAAAATTCTTTTTTTTTTAAAGAATGTTGAATATTGACCCCCACCCTATTCTGGCTTGCAGGGTTTCTGCCTGAGAGATCCACTGTTAGTCTGATGGGCTTCTCTTTCTGGGTAACCCAACCTTTCTCTCTGGCTGAGCTTAGCATTTTTTCCTTCATTTCAACCTTGGTGAATCTGATAATTATGTGTCTTGGGGTTTTTGTTTTCAAGGAGTATCTTTGTGGTGTTAACTGTATTTTCTGAATGTGAATGTTGGCTGCCTTGCTAAATTGGGGAAGTTCTCCTGGATAATATCCTGAAAAATGTTTTTGAATTTAGTTTCATTTTCCCTTTCACTTTCAGGTACACTGATCAAATGTAGTTGATCTTTCATGTAATCCCATATTTCTTGGAGGCTTTGTTTGTTTCTTTTCATTCTTTTTTCTCTAATCTTGTCTTCTCACTTTATTTCATTGAGCTGATCTTCAATTTCTGATATCCTCTCTTCCGCTTGATTGATTTGGCTATTAAAACATATGTATGCTTCATGAAGTTCTCATGCTGTATTCCTCAACTTCATTAGGTCATTTATGCTCTTCTCTAAACTGGTTATTCTAGTTAGCAGTTCCTATAATCTTTTATCAATGTTCTTAGCTTGCTTGCATTGGGTAAGAAAGGCTAGCTATAACATATCAACATGTTATATATTCACAATAGCAACACAATGGTGATGGGAGGGAGAAGTGATATACAGTGTAAGAAAATAACACTGGATGATAAATACAGAGCAACAAAAAGAAAAAAGAACCAAAAAATATAAATAAGTGTGTTCATATAGCAAATACTATAAATATGTACTTGCCCTTCTTTCTCAGTTTATTTAAAAGGCAAAAAGGTATACAAAAAATAATTATAACAATATTGTTACATTGCCCTTAATATTTGCAGGTATAATAAGTATAACAATAGCACAAAAACTGAGGAAAGAGAAAAAAGCTATATATAAAGGAGTAATGTTTCTGTATCTCAGTAGAATGTAATTAATGTAAATGTGAAAAAGATTATAAAGTTGACTGAGGTAATGATTACACATTTCTGTGACCATATTAGTAAGCATTGAATTAGACACTTTAAATGGAAAAATAGTATGGTTCAAATATATACACATTTTTAAAAGCTCAGGAACTCTAAGCAGGATAACATTTTATAAAATTTAATAATGTGAGGGAGGAAAATTGTGACTTTTACTAGTTGACAAATTTCTCCAGCACATAACTCTGTATTACTTGTGTTTTATTCTAAAGTGCTCTTCTTATTAACTCCCTGATTGTCTAAAAATCCTTTGATTTCATAGTTCAAATGAATCAGTCTTTCTTACTTATATCTGTAGGAGAAAGACAAAAGAGCTGAAATACACCTGTTAATGTTTCTCAGTTTTCTGTTGCATATAGCTCATTATTTTTACAAAATGTTATAACTGAATTATTGAAAACTTGTTTGTCCAATATGATGCTTTTTTTTTTTTTTTTTTTTTTTTTTTTTTTTTTTTTTTTTTGAGACAGAGTCTCACTCTATTGCTCAGGCTAGTGTGCAGTGGCATGATCTTGGTTTACCACAACCTTCACCTCACAGATTCAAGCAATTCTCCTGCCTCAGCCTCTCAAGTAGCTGGGACTGCAGATGCATGCCACCATGCCTGGCTAATTTTTGTATTTTTAGTAAAAACAGGGTTTCACTATGTTTGCCAGGCTGGTCTCAAACTCCTGAACTCGTGATCCACCTGCCTTGGCCTCCCAAAGTGCTGGGATGACAAGCATGAGCCACTGTGCCTGGCCAATATGATGCATTTTTACAATGATGCATAATCTGGTTTCTGCCTGTATTTAAATTATATTGGTGGTATATTTGGGCTGCCATGATAATAGTACAAATTTTAACATTAATCATGGGCTCAGCCAATTTTCCAAAGCAAGACTTCCGCTCTATTGTTCATGATCATTACAGGCGTCTAACTTCAGTTACATGCTCTGGTAGAACAAAGTTTCACACAAAATAACTTTAGTTTCAATAGGTAACCAGGTTTACCAATTTTAATTATCCCTTTTTCAATATGAAATTCTTTTTAATGTATTTCACTTTATTTTTTCCATAATTATACCTAGATATTAGTTTCTAAATCCAACAAAATGTATAAATCATGTAAAACCTCAAATGAAAAGGAATACAATTCTAACGCTCCTACTACTACAAATATTCCTGTTTTCTTCCCACCTACAAAGTCTACCTGCTAAGAAACCAGAGAGAAAACTTTTTCTCATTAAATGAGTTGTTATTCTCTTTTATCACTGATGCTTATTTGAATTATAATTAAACCACCTAAAATAGACTATTAAAATATTTCTAGATGAGTCAAGGAACTTATGTTTTATTACATTTTGTGATTGATGATAACCATTATGTACAGATCAACTATAAAAAAAAATTTATGTTCCAACTCACCATATAAACCCCTACAGCATGAATATGTTTTTAATATATACTTAAAAGTTATGTTAATACCACAAACTATCTATTATGATTTAAGTTTGCATGTGAGATTGCATTATATGGAAAAATAGTTAAGAAATAAGATCACATAAGTCTGTGCCTCAATTTTGTTATTACTTGCTATATGGTCTCAGTCAAATAACTAAATACATCTAAGCCTCAATATAATGAGGCTTATATGATCGTTAATTGCCCTTTCAATGTAAGTATCTATGTAGCTGAAATCTGGACACTTTATTATAATTCTTCTACTCTACTGAAAAATACTAATTAGGATTGTATTAGACACACACACACACACACACACATTAACATTTTCCTTAGAGAAGTGTTTTGAAATCTGTTTACTTTTACAGAGACTGATGAACGATCGCCTAGTGCAACTGAGAGAGGTACAATAAATGATGAAATTAAGACACAGTTAAAGAGTAAGAGTTATCCTGGTAAGAATAAGAATTTTTAAAAGCTACTTATGGTTTACTATCTTCTCTAGAGTTTAAGTATGGATTTATCTCTAATGACAGCAGTACCTATATGTGGATATTACATGAGAGAAAAAGTCTTCATGAATTTCCTCCTATAATTAGTTGAACTCTAGTATTTATTCTCAATGAAAAATTAACTTTAGGGCTCATTTATTTTAAAAAGTTATCCATAAAAGACTAATGTTGTAGTGATCTTAGAATATGCTTGAGGAAATATTTCAAATGCTGTTCAATTTGCTTTCTATTTATGGCTAATTAGAAAAGTTGCTTTGTATTTGAAAAAGCAAAATTGCTAGCTTATGAATGTAATAATAAGGTGAATATAACTGATAATCATTTCATTGGTTACCCATTCCCTCTTATATTGTTATGTTATCAGACAAATTGACAATGTTTCAGCTACTTTAGTTTTGTTGTATAGTTCAAAAATTATACTACTGCATTTTTACTGGTGAAACAGTCGTACATTTCTCCTGAATTTTTGGTGTTATACCCAAAGAGGCAGAGAACTTAACAGGGACATAAGGGAAAGAGACAGACAAAGAGAGCTCTGTTAAAACAACTCTCATCCAAAAGTGATTGTGTGTTGTAATGGTTAATATTAAGTGTCAACTCGATTAGATTGAAGGATACAAAGTATTGATCCTGGTGTGTCTGTGAGGATGCTGCCAGAAGAGGTTAACATTAAGTCAGTGGACTAAGCAAGGCAGATTGACCCTTAATTAACCAAGTTTTGTTTCCTGCATAAAACTTGTTGGCCATTTCAGCTGACAACATGGGTTTCCAGCAGAAATCTGGGTGGCTGTTTTAGCTGGCATCTGGAATGCCTGTGAGACAGAGCTGCCCATTTCCCCGAAAAAAAGGGTGCTGAAGGCAGGAAGCCAAGTGATCTGCCTTGGTGGGTGCCACACCCACAAAGACCAGCAAACTGAAACCCACTGGTTGGGATTTTCACAGCCAGCACAGCAGTTTGAGCTCAACCCAGGACAGCGGAGCTTGCTGGAGGGAAGGGTGACTCACATTACCGAGGCAGTTCACCATTACCGAGCCAGTTCTAACATAGTTGTATAAACAAAATTACAAGGAAGTTTACACAGCAGCTGGGCAGAGCCTGCAGCAGCTCAGCAACACCTCTGCAGGCAGACCGTGACTAGACTCCCTCCTTGCTGGGCAGGGCATCTCTGAAAAAAGGCAGCAGCCCATCAAGGGACATATAAATAAAGCCCCACCTTCCAGGACAGAGCACCTGGGATAAGAGGCAGTTGTTTGACTGCAGCAAACTTAAACCTTCCTGCACAGCAGCTGTGAAGGGAGCAACAGAACTCCTAGCACAGCACTTGAGCTCTGACAGCACTTGTCTCCTCAAGTGGCTCCCTGACCCCTGTATAACAAAGAGACACCTCATATGGGAGAGCACTGGCTGACATCTAGTGGGTACCCTTCTGGGACCAAGCTACCAGAGGATGCAATCATTGCTGTTCTGCAGCCCCCACAGGTGGTTCCCAGGCAAGAAGTGTCTGAAGTGGACCTGTAGCAGTCCTGCAGCAGAGGGGCCTGACTGTTAGAAGGAAAACTTAAAAAAAAAAGAGAAAGAAATAGCTTCAACATCAACAGAAAGAACATCCACTCAGACCCCATCCAAAAGTCACCAACTTCAAAGACTAAAGTAGATAAATCCACCAAGTTGGGAAGAAACCAGTGCAAAAAGGCTGAAATCACTGAAAACCAGAACGTCTCTTTTCCTCCAAGGGATTACAACGCCTCACCAGCAAGGGAACAAAACTGGATGGAGAATGAGTTTGATGAATTGACAGAAGAATGCTTCAGAAGCTGGGTAATAACAAACGTCTCTGAGCTAAAAGAATGTGTTCTAACCCAATGCAAAGAAATTAAGAACCTTGAAAAAAGGTTAGATGAAATGCTAACAAGAATAACCAGCTTAGAGAACAATATAAACAACTTGATGGAGCTGAAAAACTGAACACAAGAACTTCGTGATGCATACACAAGTTTCAATAGCTGAATTGATCAAGCAGCAGAAAGGACATCACAGATTGAAGATCAACTCAATGAAAGAAAACAAGAAAGCAAGATTAGAGAAAAAAGAGTAAAAAGAAATGAACAAAGCCTCCAAGAAATAGGGGATTATGTGAAAAGACCTAATCTGCGTTTGATCAGTATACCCGAATGTGACAAGGAGAATAAATCCAAGCTGAAAAACACTCTTCAGGGTAATATCCAGAAGAACTTTCCCAACCTAGCAAGGCAGACCAACATTCAAATACAGGAAATACAGAAAACACCCAAAGATAGTCCTCAAGAAGAGCAACCCCAAGGCACATAGTCAGATTCACCAGAAGAAAATGCTAAGGGCAGCCAGAGAGAAAGATTGAGTTACCCACAAAGGGAAGCCCATCAGACTCACAGTGGATCTCTCTGCAGAAACCCTATAAACCAGAAGAGTAGGGGCTGATATTCAACATTCTTAAAGAAAAAAACTTTCAACCCAGAATTTCACATCCAGCCAAACTACACTTCATAAGTGAAGGAGAAATAAAATCCTTTCAGACAAGCAATTGCTGAGAGATTTCATCACCAGCAGGCCTGCCTTACAGGAACTACTGAAGAAAACACTAAATATGGAAAGGAATAACCAGTACCAGCCACTGCAAAAATGTACCAAATGGTAAAGACCATCTACACAATGAAGAAACTGCATCAAATAATGGGCAAAACAACCAGCTAGTATCAAAATGTCAGGAATAAATTAACACATAACAATACTAACCTGAAATGTAAATGGGCTAAATACCCCAATCAAAAGACACAGACTGACATATTGGATAAAAAGTCAAGACCCATCAGTGTGCTGTATTCGGGAGACCCATCTCACTTGCAAAGACACACATAGACTCAAAATAAAGGGAAGGAGGAAAATATACCAAGCAAATAAAGAGCAAAGAAAAGCAGGGGTTGCAATCCTAGTCTCTAATAAAATGGACTTCAAACCAACAAAGATCAAAAGAGACAGAAAAGGGCATTAAATAATGGTAAAAGGATCAATGCAACAAGAAGAGCTAACTATCCTAAATATATATGCACCCAGTAAAGGGGCACCCAAATACATAAAGCAAGTTCTTAATGACCTACAAAGAGACTTAGACTTCTGTACAATAATAGTGGGAGACATTAACACTCCACTGTTAATATTAGACAGATCAATGAGACAGTAAATTAACAAGGATATCCAGGACTTGAACTCAGATCTGGACATAGTGAACCTAATAGATATCTACAGAACTCTTCATTCCAATTCTACAGAATACACATTCTTCTCAGCACCACATCACACTTACTCTAAAATTGTCCACATAATTGGAAGTAAATCATTCCTCAGCAAATGCAAAAGAATGGAAATCATAACAACCAGTCTCTCAGACCACAGTGTAATCAAATTAGAACTCAGGATTAAGGAACTCACTCAAAACCACACAACTACATGGAAACTGAACAACCTGCTCCTGCATGACTACTGGATAAATAGTGAAATGAAGGCAGAAATAAACATACTCTTTGAAACCAGTGAGAACAAAAACACAATGTATCAGAATCTCTAGGACACATTTAAAGCAGTGTATAGAGGGAAATTTATAGCACAAAATGCCCACATGTGAAGTGAGGAAAGATCTAAAATTGACACCCTCTCATCAAAATTAAAAGAACTAGAGGAGCATGATCAAACAAATTCAAAAGCTAGCAGAACACAAGAAATAACTAAGATCAGAGCAGAACTGAAGGAGATAGAGAAACAAGAAACCCTTGAAAAAAAAAATCAAAATCCATGAGCTGTTTTTTGCAAAAATCAACAAAATAGATAGACTGCTAGCAAGACTATTAAAAAAGAAAACAGAGAAGAATCAAACAGATGAAATAAGAAAAGATAAAGGGGATATCACCACTAATCCTACAGAAATACCATCAGAGATTTCTACAAACAACTCTATGCACATAAAATAGTAAATCTAGAAGAAATGGATAAATTCCTGGACACTTACGCCCTCCAAAACTAAACCAGGAAGAACTTGATTCCCTGAATAGACCAATTAGCAAGTTCTGAAGTTGAGTCAGCAATTAATAGCCTACCAACCAAAAAAAGTACATGTCCAGACGAATTCTACCAGACTTACAAAGAGGATCTGGTACCATTCCATCTGAAACTATTCCAAACAATATAAAAAGAGGGAATTCTTTAAACTCATTATATGAGACCAACATTATCCTAATACCAAAACCTGGCAGAGACAAAACTAAAAAAGAATATTTCAGGCCAATATCCATGTTGAACATTGATGGAAAAATCTTCAATAAAATACTAGCAAACTGAATGCAACAGCACATCAAAAAGCTTATCCATCATGATCAAGGAGGCTTCATCCCGGGGTGTAAGGCTGGTTCAACATACACAAATCTATAAACGGAATCCACCACATAAACAAAACCAAAGATGAAAACCACGTGATTATCTCAATAGACGCAAAGAAGGCCTTCGACAAAATTCAACAGGCCTTTATGCTGAAAACTCTCAATAAATTATTATCCATGGAATGTATTTCAAAATAATAAAAGCTATTTGTGACAAACCCACAGCCAATATCATACTTAATGGGCAAAAACTGGAAGCATTCTTTATGAAAACTGGCACTAGACAAGGGTGCCCTCTCTCGCCATTCCTATTGAACATAGTATTGGAAGTTCTAGCCAGAGCAATCTGGCAAGAAAAAGTAATAAAGGGTGTTCAATTAGGAAAAGAAGAAGTCAAATTGCCTCTATTTGCAGATACCATGATTGCATATTTAGAAGACCCCATAGGTGTAGCCCAAAATCTCCTTAAGATGATAAGCAACTTCAGCACAGTCTCAGAATACAAAAATCAATGTGCAAAATCCACAGGCATTCCT